AACACTGAAAAATGCATCCTATTATAAGCCGAAATTGGCATGAAGAATAAATCAAAGTTTCACAATACACCAGTAGGTGTTGATAAATAAAGAGAAGTAAAGCTTCAAGGTGTGAAAATCAACATGATTCCACAGCCTGCTGGTGGAGCTCCGCACCAAAAGTGTGATGAATTAACGCTGATTTATCATGAGCTCTCTTGTTCATGAGCAGATTCCGCAGACAAGAGAGCTTGAAGCCAAGAAGGACCGTCACGAGCTATGTACGATTGGTAGTGTGACACTAGACGCAATCATATCTGCAAAGGCGATTCATCGAACCGGTCACCGAGACAATGTTCCAGAACTCAAAGATGTACAATAGACAAGATCAGATGACGGAACAGGGGAAATTTGTTCGGGCTTCTTTGAGCAACTCCGAAGAGCATTCGAAACAAACCTTACGGAAATGCAGATATGTGAGACTTTCCACTGCCCAAAGGAGGTCAGATTCTAGCTTCGATTGCACCAAAGAGTACGAACGACGGCTGTGAAACAGAGCCTGACCATGATGATCACGGACCAGCCAAGATGCTCCACAATTCCTCCGACAATTAATCCATGATTACATTTGAGGACTCCAGGTAGAGGTTTTCTCCAAGCAGATTGCATTGTTGCTGCGGTATGTTAGCAGCTGGACTCGGCATATTGATTGGTAACCAGATTTGAGCCTCCTCTTTGGCCCTGGTGAGGATTGCAGAAGAATCCACCCAACACAAAGCCATTCCGAGCTTTCCACACTTGCCACAAAATCCAAGGAAACATGTAATCATCCACTTGATGATCTTTACTACTCCGGAGCAGATGATGTAGATTGAGGAGAACTGATGTTCGGGAGAAACCATTAGGAGGTAGAGGGAAACCAGACAAATCCCATGTTTCTTTGGCCGAGTGACAATGAAACAAAACATGGCATATAGATTCAACCTCCACACGGCAAGACGATAAAACTGGTATTGGGGGTGGATCATCTTCCAGCAAGCGGTATCCACTTTGAGATCCATGTTTCGAGAATCCCCAAAAGTAAGAGTCTTGGATCGAGGGTGAAACTTTTAATTTCCAAGTAAATCTTCATTCCACTTTTTAAGTAAAGTCTACAACACCAGACTGTTT